TAGCTTTCCATTTTTAGGCTGTTTGTCGGGTAAATGATAGTCCATATCGCAGAATCTTAAAAACAAAGTTTGGATGATTTTTCTAAATGCACACTGCATTTTTAATCCTTTTCATCTTGGAACAACTTTAGGTTATACGGCAGTAAGTTGGGGAGCACGGCTGGCCGCCCACTGTCATCACTGGCCTTAGAAAGATCATCGAGTAGCCCTGACTTAAGGATTAGACTGAAGTTTCCCAGCCCGTCATTTCTTAACATGGATGATTACTAGTTTCTTTCATCTCTTTTACAGATAATACCTTACATATAAATACATACATTTTATATCTATCGTTTTCTATAACAAATTTAGACAACGAGAGAAAATAGGAACAGCGCTTATCACTTTAAGAAATTTAAATTAAAATGCTACCCTCCGTTTGGTGACCCTGATCTTCAGGTGAAGTAAAGGTGAATAGGCCATGCTCTGTGTTGAAAGGGCTGATCTGGTTGAGGTAATAAATCACCTCTTTGGTTAGTTTAGCTGTTAGCTTGGTTGTCCATTCTCGCCCTGGTTTCACTCATTTCACTGAAATTTGCTTCACAGTTCCAGGCCATACTCTCATATGATCCCCCACACTTCTGTGCGTGTTCACGTGCGTGCACGTACACGTGCAAAGGTTGCGTGAACACCCAGTCGCGTTTCTCGTGCCTTTAAAATGAATTTTCCTTGCTGATTCTCATGCCGCATTGTTCTAAGTGTCGGGAGAGGCAGCAGCAACCACACGGTCCTGGACAAACTGGACACCGTTCTCCCAACTAAGAGTAACACCACCCAGTCCTCCTGCCCGCGCGCACTCTGAGAGAATCCAGCCCTGAGCCCAGTTTGTCACCGCTTCACGAGGAAGGCCCCAGCTCTACCATAAGGCCAGGAAGGTTCCCTGTTAGTACCCTTCGAAAGGAGAGGTCCTTTTGAATTACATACCTCAGAAATCTAAACTTAGCCAACTTTCCACAGGTCGGTATATAGCAATTTACATAATTTTGGGGGAAAGCACATGATAACTTTTAACAGAGAATCTAAATCCTCCAAGCAGGTGGGCATTGTTACAGCTGTAGGAATGTGTCTGAGTAAGCTGATTTCTGTTACTCCTCCACTGTACCCCTAATACTGGCTTACTGTTGAGGTATTCAGTCAATGTGTATGTTGTATTGCACTTAATCACCTGTTAGTATAAATAATTGGGCATTTCATTACCTTAAGACCATTCATTGATGGTTTATTAATTTATAATCATTTTTGTTCTAAAAAGGATCAAAGGAGACCCACGAGGATATAATTAATATAAGAAAAACTTAAATTTAGAAAGAGGAGGAACTCGGGGAAGAGGGGATTAAGGGTAGGAAAGTAAGAGGAGGCTGTTTGGCCATTACAGAAAACAGGAAAGCTCTCATACTTGTGTGTGAAGTTGGCTAAAAAAAAAAAAAAAAAAAAAAGTGCTTTCTAGCACAGGTGTGTAATATCAGTTTGGAAGATGTACACCTATTGCTGGCACAGCGCGCGTTTAGTCTAAAAGATTTTTGTTTTCAGAGATGTTCTGAGTTGTGAAGTTTGTGGAGTTGGCAACAGAAATACTGGGCTCTTTCGCTAGGTCGTGATCCCCTCCCCACCTGAAAAAATCGGACAGGAGAGCTGGTATGCAAGCAAAATCTCCATGGAAGTGTGAAGGCTTAAGACAGAGTTCACAGGCATCACTTCAGGCAGAAATATTGTATATGCATTTCACCAAATAGTGAAATTAAATGAAGCAAAAGAGCACGGGAGTTAGTGAAGTCTTAGAGCAAAATGAACATGAAGACATATTTCAGATCTACGGGTCCTATACCGCCGACGTGTGGCTGTCAGCGGCGGTGTGCCAGCCCTGTCCAAAGGTGCTCACGTTCCCGCCGATTCCTCCTCCATGACTTCTGTGGGGAAGATGGGCTCTGGGTGCTCCGTGGCCGCAGGCACCTCTGCCTCTTCGTCCTCCTCATTCAAGTTACAGAATGTGTGTTCTTCGTTGAAACCTATTAAAACACAACAGTCACGTTTACTGTATAATACAACTGTGCCCATTGTGATGTTATTTGTTACGTGATTTAAAGAAGATCATCCTCAGAACTGTCCAGAGGCACCTCAGAAAGGATTCTAGAACCATTTAAAACTGGGCCTGTTTTGCTTATCCATTAACTGTGCAATACACTTGTTTTTTTTTTTTTTCCAGTTTGCATTGTATCCTTATACAACCTTCTGGAACAGTGGAATTTGGGCAGTGGCTTAGCAGAAAAGGATAAGAGGAAGAGGAGAAATTAGAGGAAAGGCCGGCACTCTGCCTGAATACAAAACCTTGCCAACTAACTATTCCAAATAAACCAACGACTGCAAACTTAGACTGTTCCAGCCAGGTCCGTGTGGGCAGTGATGGGTTTTATTGACTGAGCTTTGGCCATGATTTCCTACTCAGGCTCTCAGGGGAGAGATCTGTTCTTCCAGTTTTTGGTCCCCTTAACATTTTATTGACCACTGCCAGTGTCAGAGAGATTCTCATTAATCTGTGAATCCATTCCCGAATGCTGGGGATGGTGGTGGGGCCTGCACTGTCACCAGGGAGGGCTGGGTTTCTATCACTAGTCCTCTTTGATGCCCTGAAGCAGCTGTTTCCCATGTGGTGAAGTCTGGCTGGAAATGTGACAGGTCATTTGAGGAACCTAAGCCTTCCACAAGTCAGTATGACATAAAAAAGAAAATCAGGCCATACGTAGGAACAATATGATTTTACCTATTTGAAGAAACAAGCCTTGTGTTTTACACTAAATGACACAAACTAACATTTGACTGCTTTCAAGGTCATTACATATGTTAAACATTACAAATTTATAATCACAATTTCTACTGGTTTCTTTTCTTTTTTAATGCATATACTGAGTCGTGAAGTAGGACTGCTTTCTTTCATATCCAATCATTGGTATGCTCCACAGTACATTCATAATACACCTATCTCATTTAATAGATTTTATTAATAGCATCCAAGGAAATTTTTTATTTTGTCAACATTACTTAAATAATACTGTTTTTCATTATATTCATTTTTTCTATCTTAAAATATAAAATAGTTTTTTCACGAAGACAATAACTGTTGATCTCTTTAAATGTCTCTGCCTGCTATTGTACCTACTTTTGGCCATCACCATCAGTAATATAAAAAGTAAAAATGTATATTTGTTTCTCTCCAGTTAGCCAGTACACATTGCATCCATGCACATTGACAAAGATTTAATGTCATAAGTGATTGGTGCATTTCTGAGACCGTAGCCTTCCCAGAGAACAACATTGAAATGACCATGCCGCCTGCTTAAGTAAAACAAACTGTTTCCAAGAACCATGAGGAAAACGTGTCTTTAACTTCCATGGGTGGTGCAGAGAAACTTTAACTGTAATTTGGACCAGAACAAAAGGTAGGGTTGGAGATTCCAATCAATTAATTCTATTGAAAAGCATCACGCAGCCTATTCATCAAGAAGAACAGGGAGAGTTTTAAACATTCAGGTAAATAGATAATCCATTAAGAAAACAATATACATTGTGGCAAATGCCATCTTGGTTTTGTCAGCACTTATTTATAGTCTTTGGATTCCCCTGCCCTCCCGCCGAGGGATTTCTATCCCCCCTCTTCCAATCTTTGTTCTCTTATTCATGGCTGAGTGAAAACAAAGCGGGAAAGCTGCACATACCCAGTGTTCCCTTCTGGACAAGTTCTTCCTCTATAGTGAGAAGGCGGTTGTACTTAGTCACCCTTTCGCCTCGAGAAAGACCTCCCAACTTGATAAACCGGACGCCGAGTCCAACGGCCTTAAAGAGGGGGAAAAACAACTTATTTTAAATGGAGGAGTCGCATTTTGTTCAAAAGACACTGTCGCTGTGTACTGTTTTGGTGTTTCTCGTATAACTTAGTTTTTTCCTTTACCTAAGTAGAGTGGACCTGCTTACAAGCCGAGGGTGTCGAAAGGTGAAGTGGCAGTGTGACTGCCTCAGACTCGAGGAGGCATGCAAGCATGCCGATTTTATCTGAGCACATTCTGGCCTTTCTCACTTCATCCGAGGCAGGGAGATTGCAAGTGCACACCCCAGTCCTTTAAGTGGGCTGACCGTTCTTCCCAGGACTTCGATTTTTCTTCTTTTTAAAAGTTCAAAGATTAGCTCTTTGCAAAAGGGAGCTAGCTGTCTGGGAGGAAGCAAGTCCATTTCATAAAAGGTTACATGACTTTCTCTGCCAAAAAATGCATTTCTCTGAAATACCAGTTTGTGATAAAAGCAGTATTTTGGCAATTCTGCAAGTGACCGGCCTTCGAAACTTACCAAGTCAACAAGGCTGTCATCAGAGGACTCTCCTTCGGTGCTTCCAAAGATGGCCACGTGCTTCCTACCTGCAAGCGGGGGATTCTTTTTAGTTTTGGATGGTACAGAAACGATGAGCACATATGTGAGCTGCGGGGTCAAAATTTGAAATTTTCCAGAGATTTAACTTTTCCGTGAAGAGTCAATTATTGGGCCACCTAAGAATTCTAGCCCACACATTTGCATTTTTATTACCTTGGTTTTATCTGTTTACCCCTTTCCAGTAGCTAAGATGCTAAATACTAAGTGAATGCCATATTTCACCAAATTTAAGATACCATAAATTATAAGATGCATCATTATTACCATTAAAGAGGAAAAATACTCAAATTAGATTGACATATTTCTAAGACCATAGCTGTAAGACATTCAGTTTCATTTGTGTTCAATATAGAAAAATGCATCTTTAAGTCAGTATATGATTAAGTGCAAGGGCATCATATGTGGAGTTGATATGCCTAAATAATGGATTTCACAATCCATCATGTAGAATTTTATTCAAAGGAATCTGTCATCCTGAATATTTATTAGAAGAGCAGTGATGATGGTATTTAATCATTTGAGGATCTCAAAGCCCTTGAAATTTGCCAGTCTACAAAGAGTGCAAGCCAAAGTTCTTCCTATAGTGATAATTTTTGTTTTAAAGGCAAGAGCTACAGCAACAATCTGAAGTGGGCCCCAGACTGGGTAGGTTGCAGGCACAGTGACTATAGGCATTTCACTCCATCCTCTGGCACCAGCCCAGGCCCCTGGCTGCCAGTCTTACTCTAAGTCCTGCTCAAGGTCTGCCTAGCTTCTGAGAGCCATTCATGATATTTGTGTTTCAGGCACTGTGCTTAAGTGAACAAGACGTGCATGAACTCATGGGAGTTTACAGTCTAATGGAGGGATACCTGGCATTAAATAATTGTACAGTTGTGGCCAGTCCTACAAAGAGAAAATATAGGATGCTATGAGAAAGGTTCAGAGCAACCAGTTAGGGGTGGAGGAAGTCAGTGAAAGCATAAATATCCGAAGAAGTTTCATTTAAGGCAAGAAGACGTGAAAGATCCGGAGTAGTCAGCCAAGTAAGTAGTATGGGGCAAAGCATTCAGGGCCGAAGGAACAGCATATTGAAAGACCTCAAGGTGGTAAACAGTTTGAAGCTTTTGAGGGGAAAAAAGGAGCCAGTGTGAGCAGTGGGATCGCTGTCATGTCATGTGGGGCTGGTAGGGCAGGGGCCGTAGCCACACCTTTGTGGCAGCCTCACTAAAGGGGATGACCTCTGGACTGGGGCTGATATTAGAACATTGTGAAGTGACTCAGGAGGCTGCATTTAGTTTTCTAGCACCTCATCCCTCATAGATGGTTGAAGTTTTTTCTTCCCAGAGTTAGTCCATGCTTTTTATTAATTGCCATATTGAGTATTTTGGGCTTCTTGTATAACCAAGTTAAGTTCATTATGAATCTTTTAGATCTCTACTTTTACTCACTGTCGATGAGATTGGTTACTTCCACCAAGTCAGACATCATAGTTTGATTTGTATGTTTTATGATGAGCCCACTGGATTTGGGGATGCCGATGTTTCCATTTTCTATAAGTTTAGAGATGCTTTTGGATGCACTTCCTGCAATTATGTAACACCTGGAACCAAGAGCATTATAGATGCTGTCCCACTGTTCAGAGTCCTGGGTAAATATTTAAGAATTGATCATTACAATATATTGAACAGTTACAAAACAACAGGAATCATATAGCACATAATCAAAGTTATACACCTTTCTGAGATACACAACACACTTTTCTTTTGTATCTGAAGCTGAATGATGCCTGTACCGTAGCCATACAAATTAACAAGCTTCTTGGAACAGAATCTTAAAATGATTAAATTTGAGCTTAAAGCTCTAGTGAATAAAATGTTCACACACATTACGTGCTATTCTCCACATTGATTCTGAAGTTCTTCAAACCCAGGCTTTCCCCACCCACTGTAATATCCATAATGCTGCTAAAGACTGGCTGGTTAGAAGATTTTACCATTATTTTTGGTAAACAAACAACTGAAAGAAATGAGCTCTAGGCCCTCATTCTCAACACTATTGTTTTTTTCTTTTTCTTTTTCTTTTTTTTTTTGGTGAGACCACCAGAGGAAATGAAATGCTTACTATTAAAGACATGACAACATTCAAAGTCTTCTCAGCCAATGTAAGGAACTTCAGACTGTCTCATCAGAATAGACCGCATAGGTGCTTCTTATCACACTCACAATGGCGTGATCAGAGCCTCAGGACAAGCGTCCTCGGAAAGCAGGCCGGGGAGATTACAGAACTGAGCTCAGGGTGTGTCTTCCCCCAAAGCAGGGGCAGAGCAGAGGCTGTGAGCAGAGAGCTGGGACGGAGACGCTGGGGCCCCCGATGAGACCTAGCAGACTTTTCGTCCCCCAAATTTAAATCGAGTTATCACAAAGTGGGTATCTGTTCAGTATCTCTAATGGCTCTCAGAATCATAAAATCAAGGATTCCAGTTTTGGTGATTAAGCGGTTAGGAGGAGAGACGGTCTCATGTGGCACACAAACGTCCCTTGAGATCGGCATTAGTCTGAACAGATCAAAAAAACTCAATATCTCAAACCTTTTAAAAATATGGCTCTGTTACTTTTACGCATATGTAGTAACTGGATTTAGGTTAAAAAAAACATTTGGCCTAGTTGAAGTCCTGTTTCCATGAACACTTGAAAATGATATATGATTAACCTATTGAAGCACCAGCTAGCCCAGGGGGCTCGGCTCCCATCAGTTAGGTGGCCTGTACATATACCGGGAATAGCTTGCTTCATTCCGTAGACAGGCACACTCCTACGGAATTGTTTCCACTATTCATTTGCTTAGTAAGTGCCTTTTCTCATAAATGCTGAAATAAAGCAACTCGGACCCAGTCCAAATTACAACCCATTTCGAATGACAGATCCTAGAGAATGAGCTTTTATTCTGTTTTACTATAAAATTCAAGGTGAATCCCGTTACCTCTTTCCTGAAAGGATCGATTAAGGCAATAATCGAGGGGAACTTGTTGATCAGATCCACATACAGGTCAACCATGTCAGCTGCAGTTTTGTATGTTCCCATCGTCACCTCATACTTTCCTTTAGTCTGATAAGTGCAAGGAAGATATTAAAGGATAAAGGATGAATTCCTCAAATGGTAAAGATGTGATCGAGACTCATTTTCATTCATTTCATTTAAAAAAACTGTAAACAGATTCTTTTCAGGCCACGTTCACTTTAGAAATCTGTGCATTTCACTTTTAATATCTGTTAACTATCAACCTAGGGACATCAGGTCACCACGGCCCTTAATACCCCACTGAGCTCTCCCCCACTGACTCTGGATGACGACTCTTGCACAAAAATTGAGTATAGAGTAGAAGGGGGATAATTTCTTTTCTAGGTTTATGGCATGGCACCAGAAACCTGCCTGCTTGGGTAGATGGGCAATAACAAATTCATAAAACAAACACTAGCCATGCAAACCTGCCCATTCACTAGAACCTACCATCTCTCAACTCTCAGTGAATAGCTTGTTTCCTCTGCTGTGACTATTTTAAATCTGAAAGCAAGGCTAGGCGGTTGAGATACTAACAACCAATGTAAAATGTAAAGTGAATTATGTGAAGGCACGTTGTTCTCAGGTAGTACATAAGTTCTGGTAGTAACTACATGGTCTTGAAAGTGTGACCCCATTCAAGTGAAGTCTGGCAAGGCCCCAGGTGATTAAGTATACAAGTAAACAGGGCTACAGGACCTGGGGTAGTCTCTTTGCAAAACAGAGCACCTTTACTTCTGAGTCTGTGTTCAGAGATGACACCCGGGATATTGGGGTACTCAGGAGAGAGGGGGAAGGGAACAGATTGGCTGTTTGGTTTGCTAATGACTTCCTGCTGCTGCTGCTAATTGAATGGATTCCACTGGATTTAAGCAGGTTCTTAAAAAATCCATACCTTTTTCACATTAAATAGCATCAAGAACTTTTAGTTTCTATACTGCAAAGCTTTAAAATCTTATCTTGTCAGTAAGGAAATGCTAATGACTTTGAACTAACATTGTTAAGAATTATCTGATATCAAGCTAATATATTTTACTGAATATAAGCAATAAATACCATTTCTAGCTAGCACTAGCAGTCAGTATAGTCATAGTACTTGGTATACATTGCTGATGAAAACATGCAATTATTTTTCTTAATGGTATGCCTAGGAACCAATCATTATGTGAAGAATAGGAAATTACATTAAACATTCCTTTATGTGCTTAGTTTCTTTAGAAAAGTAAAAGAACTTTTAGAAACCTGCTGAAACTTAGGGTTCTAAGATACTGTTCGAATTTTCCTTTGAAGTTAAAAGTTAGGATCATAAATCAAAGTGGAATCGTATCTGGTCATGCCCTTTGAATCTGACATTGATTACCTAGTCACCATAAATGCATGTCAATTTGCTGGCATTTTTAAAACTCAGAGTCAGCACTTACGTATTTGAAAATGGGAAGTATGTGTAAGCCTACAAGACAGACAACTTCTAATAGCTTTCCTAATGTAAACAATTTCCCACATTTAAAGGTTAAATGCTGATGCATTACCCTGAGGAAGTAAGGGCTACAACATTTTTTTTAATGAACTTTTTTCCGTTCCCTTCCTTAAATAACTTCCTCCAGGTGGTGTGGTCCCCAGCTGAAGTTTCATCTGCTAAAGCTCTGTCTCCCTGACCCAGGCTGTGGATAACACTGTGATGGGCTTAATTGGATAGAAACATATTCTCCATAAACTTCAACAACATTGAAATATTTTTATTTAAAAAGTGAGTCACAGCAAAAACTCTAGGAACCGCGTGTCTAGAAGGTTTATCTAGTCACAGTTACAACTGATTTACTTTTCCTGCTCACCAAATTCAGCATTTACCAACCAAATGATTGTACTTAGCAGAACATACCAGTTTGTTAAGTTTTTGATAGCTATCATGATTGCAATGTAAGCAACCCATTTTAGTCATTTCTGTTACAGAATTTCTATATGTAATTGTTATGACATTTTCTGTTAATTTTTAAAATTATGCATATCATATTCTCTGGTCATTAGCTAACTTGGCTTTCTCAACTCCATTTATATATGTTTTTATTTTATTTTCAAAAAGAATTATTTTAATAGTGCAATAAGAAAACAAAATATATATAAGAATTGAAAAGTAATAAAACTCATTATTCATAACTTACGTAATAAGCAAAGAAATTCAAAAATAACCTTAATAAACTATTAGACTTATTAAGTAAAATTAGTAGAGTCAATAGATATAAACACTACATTTCTACAGACTAGCCCCCAAAAGAACAACTTTAATGATACTATTATTAACAATAGCATCAAAAACACCATCAACTCTATTTATACTTGGACTCCCAAAAAGTTATTACCAAAAAAAGAAAACAATGGATCTGTTTGGAAAATATACAGATAAGCTCGTCTTCTGAGTTCTAATCTAAAAATAATGAGACCTCAACAAAAAACAGAAACTTACATAGTCCATCAGCTCATGTGCAGCACAGTTGATAGCTAAATGCAGATTTGTTCCCAACTCTAGCCCCAGGTTTGCACAGATGCCTTGTATTAGGAGCAGTGGCTGCTCTATGGTGTCATAAGTAATGGTTAAACAGCCGAGATGGGTCATCTTGCCAGTGATCAGCTGCTGCAAGATTCAAAGGAAAATAATGCGTGTAAATGTAGTGCATTATGGTTCTTGGATCTTCCTGTGTTAGGCACAGTTTATAACCAGACACAGCTCTCCAAAAATGTACTCTTCTGATCCTCGATTAACCTTGCCTTTAGGTCCCACTCGTTTCTGCGTGATCTTTGTGCATATGATTGCCCTGCAGTATCTGGGAGTAATTTTCTTACTTGCCAAGGTTTTCAAGTTTGACCTGGGAACACACTTCTCTCCCCTCACTGTGCTGTGTTATTTCTTTATTGGCTCTGCCATTACACATGGGCTAACCTGAGCCACCACCACCAAGCTGGTGAATCTCCGTCCCTCCCTGTCAACGTCTGTCCTGCCTGTCCCTAACCCTGTCTTCTTCCTCCAAACCTGCTCTTTCCTGTGCTCCATTTTCCTTTTAGTAGAAATAACTGTGAAAACTTAGAAATGCAATTCTACTTCAGGAAAGGTTTTATCTTTAAAAGGGGTGAAGATTTCAGCTGAAAGTATGTAGCACTGAGGATGAATTCCAGTGGAAGACGATTTGCTGACCCAAATGACCTCAGGGAAAGGCAGCCATATGCTTCTTTTACAAGGGCAGCCTTGATGTACCTTTGTCATAAATTGCCACTATGCAATTATAAGTTGAAGCAATATCAGTAATTCTAAGGGCTTAAGGAGTGTGTACCATATTCAAGAGCAAACATGAACCTAGGTATAAATATCCCATTTTTACTGGTGATAGTACTAGTTAATTATAAGAACCATCCAACGTTTTTAATGTCAATGACAGGAACCTTCTATTTGGCAAAGGAATAGTTGGGGAAATTTTTATGTATCGATTGAGGGGTTTCATTACAGACTCTTCTAAACTATAAAAGCATTGCTTATTTGGTGCTTACTAAATGCCAAGCTAGTCTAAACACTTTACATAGTAAAGAAAATACATTTACTCCTTAGATGTCAACCCCACAAAGTAGGTACTATTATTATTTCCATTACACAGAGAGTTAAGTAGCTTGGAACAGATTTTAATCCAGGCAGTTAGTTCGTATGGCTGCCTCTCTAGAATCTATCATCTAACCTGTTTCTAATGGGGGAAAAAAAAGGAGTAGGGCTGATCACAGGAAGAGCTAAGTTTCTCAGAACACCTAAGACAACCTGCTGGGACAAAGGGACCAACACTGAGATGTGGTTACTTGTTCACCATCCCCTACCTCTCCTACAAGGTCTAATGTCAGAGTGTTATGCTCATTCCAACAGATCCCACAGCTGTCGAGTATTTTACTTATATTTCTCTTTCCCAATTTTGAAGAGGAACTTAATTTTTTATCTTTACCAAGTCCTTTCCTTTCTTTACTAGCCCCTCTTGCCGATGACTTTAACAGCTATCAGGGTAGTGACTGCAGGCTTAATAGAACAAATATTGCACATGTGAGCAACCTTCATCCATTTGCATTAGGCATATAATAGATGTACCTATCAGAGAGTGCCCACAATCACAAAAACGACCCGCTGATCAAACTCAGCTGGTCTCCCAGGGCTCTGGCAGCCAGCATGGACAATTTTCACAAGAACTGCGTGTCTGACTCCTGGCAGAATCTGAGCTCTGGCAATGGTTCATCAGAAATGGTGCCTCAGTGACTTTTCTGTGCCTCTTCTCTCTCTCTTTGGTAGTAGTAAAATTAAAATCTATCCTTTATGCCTTTCAGCTAGTTAAAGAGACTCAGTTTGCAGAGCTTCATATGTCATTCTATTACTCATAAATGAGATTTCAGTTGGTCAGACAACTGCTGGCAGAGATGGCCCAGCAGCCTGTGGCCAGAAAGACGGGGACAGAATGCTATTTCAGCTCTCAGATTGCCCGGTTTGGTGCCCTCAAAATAGAATCATCGTGGATTTTCCACTTGTGTTAGTTAGCTCTGGTCCTGGAAAAAAAAATGACTATTGGAGAGGCAAAGGAGCAGGGAACATATAAATGAACTGTGTTATACAGAAGTGTGATAAACAAATACATATACTTACTTGACCTCTTTTGCTTCCATTATGCCCTTTCTTGGGTTCTGCTTTTGGAGGAGGGGGCTGTGGGACAGAAGATGAGAGAGAGAGCACTTGGGATTTGCAGACATGTCTATGGCAGCAAAACTCAGATTTTCTGGCCTGTCCATGGCTCTGGGGCCCAGTCACACTGTCACACACACACACACACACCAGCCACTCCCCACTTTTATAAACCCTAAACTGCTTCTCAAATTCAGGCACGTGTTCCTTTTAGTTCATCCTTAGATTCTTGCTCCAATCATATACATAGGACATGTATATACATATTCATGCATTTCTACTCATAAAATAAAGTGTCATTCACTCCTACAAAGTTCCCTCCTTGCCCTTAAGGAATACAGCACTGTGGGGTTTGTTTTCATCTGCCCAGCATATCAGTTTGAATCTTCTCAGGGTACAGACACCTGCAGGGTGGATTTGACGTTGGGAAAAAGACACGGGTCTTTAAATCTGGTGACTCGAGTGTATGTAAAGTCATTTGAGATTAAAAGTAAAGATATTTCCCAAAGAGGCGTTCCCACAATTTGGAGGTATAGATAAGGATGCATTTTTATGGCTAGCATTTTCTGGCTCTGTAAGCTGGGGCATGTTTGTCAAGTGGGCATGGTTCACACTCAAGTATGTGCAAATACAGTTATCCTGCTCTTTTCACTGTGGAGTCAGCTGAACTTTTTATTCCCTGGTAAAAATAACACAGGGACAAATCTCCATGCCAGGCTGGAGAGAGACAGTGGTGAACAGACAGACAGGGCACGGTCTCAGGGGTCTGCAGTCTGGTGAGTCAGTGCAATGAGATGCAGGTTACAGCCAGAGAAGCTGGGGTGCGATGGGGAGTGCAGGGCAAGGGAACTTCAGGGAAGGGGGCTCTGCAGAAGCTGAGACTGGGGGATTTGTGGGGGCACCGAATACTCCGGGTGAGAAGGGCAAGTGTAGCTCTGTGCAGGGATGTGGCCTTCCCGGGGGAGCCTGAGAACCAAAAGCAATAGCCTTCAGGCAGGGTTTTCCAGCCCTGGCACTCCTGATTTTGGGGGCTAGATAACCCTTTGCTGCAGGAGCTGCCTTGTACACTGCTGGATGGTTAGCAGCGTCCCTGACTGCCGCTAACCAGGTGCCAATAGGGCCCCTCCCTCCCAGCTGGGACAACCCAAGATGTCTCTAGGCATTGTCAAATGTCCCTTGGCAAAATCATCCCCTGTTGAGAACCACTGCCTTACAAGAACAGATTAATACATTTTACTACGTCAAAATTTAAAAAGAAAAAAATCCCTGTGGCTCTATAAAATACAGTTAAAAGGCAGGCAGCGTGATTGAGGAAAATATGTATGACATATAGAAAGGATTGACGCCTTTATTATACAGTATAAAGAATTCCTAGATGTCAGTAAAAGATGAACACTCAATAAAAAGGGCAAAGAAAGCAATTTGCAGAGTGATTTGTACAGAATTTGTATATTATTTTAACCACAAAACACATTATATATTTGTGTGTCTGTCTGTCTATGTGTATGTATACAAAAGAAAGTCTGAAAGGCCACACACTAAGTTTTAATGGTGCTAACCTCTAGGAAAGGGACTGGGGCTGAGGGTGGTAGTCTGTAGGGCTGGGGATTTGGGGGTGATGGTGACTAGCTCTACCAGGATTTGAATTTTCAGAAGAACATTCATGAGCTGCTTGTATAATCAAATAAAAAAAAAATCAATAAAACATTCGAAAGTCAGGATGATTGCAGAAAGCTTGAATATCCTGAATTTCCTAATATTCTAAGCTGGATTTCCTCCCCTGCTGTGACAGCCACCACTATGTATTGCTTACTGATGTGCCAGCTTCTGCTCTGATCACATTGCTTATATTCAACTTGTTTACTCCTCACAATCTCCCCATCTCATACCCACTTTATAGATGAGGAGCGTGAGGCAGAGAGGTTATATAATTGGTCCAAGGTCGCACAACTGGTAAGGGGCAAAGCAGAGTGCAAGGTCAGGGTTAAGTTGTCCACGTCTGAGTCTCTTTTAGGCTGGTATCCATAAAAAAGTTGGCTTCCTGAACAGTACCACAGACACTGTCTCCAGGCTGATTAAAGTCATTCTGATCACTGTAGGGCTTGGGCCCCAGCCACGCCTCCCCGGTCACCATAGGGAGGGGCTGGTGCTTCCTGATGAGTAGCTTAAAAGCCTCACACTAAGCGAATGTGGGATCCTGGACTGGATCCTGGAAAAGGAAAGGGTATTAGTGGAAAAACCAGTGACTTTTGAATAAAGTCTGGAGTTTATCGGTAATGTACCATTTTTGTTTTCTTAGTTTTGACAAATGTACCAAGGTAACACGTCATGTTAACCCTGGGGGAAACTGGGCCGTGGGGAGGGGGGTATTCGGGAACTCTATACCATCTCTACAAGTTTTCTGTAAATGCAGTATTATTCCAAAATAAAGGGGTGTGTGTGTGTGTATGTGTGTACAAGCACCACAGACAAGGATTGGGTCCTCCTTCTGGTGTCAGCCTTGCCACATCACTGTGCACTGCCCTCCACCCCTTAGAATACGGAGGGGCAATCGGTGACTCATACAACTACCTGTCACCCCAACTCTGTGACTTCCCCCTCAAGGGTTGCTTGGCCAAGGGCATTGTTTGCCTAACACCTGAATTCTAAGCGGACACAAGAGTCTTTGCTTTAACCACTACACCAAACTGCCTCTCACATCCTAGGGGCCGAATCCTTCCTTTCTTTGGAAATCCTAAGGAATGATCTTAGCACAGAGCCCACTGCCTCAGAAATCAAAATGAGATTGTTAAGTACCATGAGAAACTGGATCCATAGGCAGTGAGGAATGTATAAGCTTGGCTCATATGGGAAACACATTTTCCATTTCAATAACAACACTATTGACTTGATTCCATAAAGAACAGTAATTTGGGTATTAGAAGGTGTATAAGCGGCAGTCATTAGAAACCACAGATTCTCTTTACGTACCAGTTCAATTGTTTTGTTAATTTGTTTCTGAATTTCCATAAGCATCTCCACACCCTGTAAGAAGAATAAACATGATCTTCCACAACTGCAGTCTAGAAATTTTAAATATAAAAACTTGCACCACACATGGCTATTTCTAACTCAGAGTATCCCTAGGGTCCCTGACATAGCACCCTGGTTAGTGGATGATCTGCTCTACAAGATCAGAAGAGTAAAAGTGCCTCGCCAGCCTCAGTTTTTAGCTGGCTGAACATGAATGAGAGGCTCTTCTTCTTCAGTACCCTCTCTTCACTATTCAGAGCCGACTGGCTTACTTGGTTGGATCAAGTTAACGTCATTGTTTTTCACAGTCTCTTGATGGACCTTCTTGCAGTACATGTACATGTACACAGGTCACAAAGGGGTTCTGCCTGATAATGTTTGAATTAGTATAAATTCACTGTCACTTAAAAAGTAGAAAAGTGTATTTTGACGATGCTGGGGTCTGTATACGAAGAGGAATAGTGGCATGCCAAATGCACTGGTACCCACATGGCACAGCAGATCTTAACTACAGGAAAGATGCTGGCACCAGAATCTGAGCATGATCTGACAGATGGCGAGCCAGATATAAATTCTAGTCTTCCACAACTGATAAATTGTGAAGTAATGATTATTCTCTTCAAAAAAGAATTCTTTATCACACATCTTGAGATTTAAAAAAAGAATGATTTTTACTAGCTTAGATCAAATATCACTCAGAGTATTACCAGAGGGGATAGAGCTTCCTATACTTTTTCTGAAAACATCCTCTGTAGAACACGAACATTTAGTTCTCCCTAATGTCTAACTGGTAGCCTATTTCATGAGGATTTAATGAGCATCTTGACTCATTCGGGACACTGAAGAATAATAGAGACACTAGCACATCGCTAAGTGATAAAGATGCAACTTAGGATTCCTTCATTCTGCATTCCGTAAACATGCACTAAACCTCTCTTATATGCCAGGCAATCTGCGACCTGCCATCTGCCATCTCTAGGCCCTGGAGTTCTGACTTAACAGAATGGGCTGCCATAGTACATAGACTAGTCAATAAATATATCTCAACTCTCCCCCCACAACACACACACACACAAATACACAACCTTCCAACACTACCAAGGAGAACAAAGTTACTCACACATGGCTTCTCTGTGAGTCATAAGCATAAGTCAGTGCTGTAATGAACCGGAGATCTAAGGTGGTCTAAATATGTTCCCTTTTATTCGAGATCTTGCTTTCTTCCCATTTCCCTGATTTCCTAAAATCTTTTTTCTCATTTTATATTCGGTTCCTTCTCTTGGTGTCATAGCCATAGGGACCTACACTAAAAACTCATTGACAATGGAGTATATTTTTTAGAAAAAATAGTTTGAGATAACATAAGGTACTTGTTTAGCTGTTAATCCAGGATGGGGTATACAAATCACTTCTTTCATTAAATTCAGCTTCCCAGGCGATGACTTCCCACAGCTGACCAGAGACACCATCAGCAAAGGGATAGTTAGCTTCATTGGCTGTTCCTGAAACAGGGGAAAATCATGGTTCATTTCTATGGAGATACTCATGAGTCCTTGTAATGGAATACAATGGCTACTAACCTGCTGGTGCTTCAGTAATGCAATGTTGAAATACAGAGGATTATTGTCCAGCATGGCATTGGTTTTGGCAACAGCTAGTGACACAGCCCCTATGGCCATGCTGCCACAGAGTACAGGTTCCGCTGGTTCTGGAGGTATAATAGGTTTCTCTGTAAGAGCATCCTTCATGCCTGGAGGGAAAAAATATTGATAAAAGATTATTTTCTAGGAAGTTTGACTACAATAAAACTATATTTTTTAATGCTCTACTCAGGGCTATGAAGGCCCAGAATAAAGAAAGTTTCAACACCGAGGCTGGAACGAACATATCCTCCCCCTCAACCCCCAAGAAGTTTTCACTTTGATTCCACTTACTGTCTAATGCTCAAACAATCCTTAGACATGGATTTTTCCTAAGACATTGTAGACCATTCAATAGTAACTCCTTCAATCATCACGTGGGGCGAATTTTGTTCCCCACATTCACATATAGGTAAAGTAGGGCTTAGAGAGGTTAAAAGACCTGCCCAATATCTATCAGAAAATGAATAAAGAGAGGATTTGGATTGTCTCTGAGCTCCAAATCCTTTGTTTTCCTATATTCCCAACTCGACGTTAAGCATCTCTTCATGCATATATCTAACTTCTTACTTTCTCACTGACCTCCAACCAATGCCTTTTGCTTTTAGAGATGACTTCCAGACCCAACCATCTACCTAAAGTCCTTCTTCATCTTTCATTTTCACATGTTCTCAGCCACCCAGTCTGATCAGGTACCACAGAGTCTGTCATAAATCTCTAGTGTCCCTCCTGTCCTCTCCTTCCCCACAGCTGCTGACCTGGGTCAGGTAGGTCAGATAAGTGGAATAAGACATAAGCACCTGGAACATAGTAAATGTTTAGCACATTACTGTCCCCTCCTACTTCTTTCCTTCTCTTATGTTCCAAGTTCTGTCGGTGAAAAGCAACTGCCAAATGAACATCCATGGGTGGTCTCTACCTATAATTTGGCAGTGGCCATCCCCACCCTCCCAAGATGTTGATCTGATATAATACTTTTGTCTTGGGCAATGCTGCTCTCCATTCTAGGCCTCAACATCTGAATCTAGGAAATAAGAGAATTTGTCTCCACAGTGGGTCCCTTTCTGGTTCCAGTGCTTTATTATTCAATGGAACCAACTTTAATTGGGCATTTAGTTTGCGCCCGGCATTGTACTAGGCACTGGCGGTGCTAAATTGAACAAGGCATGATGCATGCCCTCAAGGAGCACACAAAACACTGTTACAATACTAGCAGCAGCTCCAGAATTAATATACTGGAGAGGCTGAGGTTAGCAGTCTGTTGGGAGGGATGGAGCAAAGGGCTATGATAATGTTGATTATTTGCTTTAAAATAGCAAAGTTTTCAGAGGAAAATTTTTATTAATATGTTACATAGGACTGAGAAAATGTTGGCTGTCCATACTGAAGGATATCATTAATCTTTAATATGTGGACTGGCTTCTTGATGAATTTTGAAATTTTCCCCTTTGGGTAGTCTATTCCCATAGACATATGAAGACTCATTGTTTAAACAAAGATTTCAGAACCTACACATCTAAATACTGCAGCCCTCTCTGAGTATTCCTTTTGGTGAGTTAAGATGTATTTCAATGATACCATCATTTCTCAAAGTGCTTTTTTAGCATTGAATTTGGAGCCAAGATAGGGTCATAGGGTTGTGTAATGGGGTCACTCTCTCCTTGTTTTATCATGCTTTCACAGTTTCATTCTCTCTGGCTCTCTGTCTCTCTTGTCTCTCTCACACACACACACACACACACACACACACACACACACACAACAATGAAGGGTGGGATGGGGTATAACCCTGACCACCCAGCACAGAAGCTTCAAGCCAGGAAGTGGCGTGGGAGATGGATGGTATCTGGTGGGGCTCTACCCCAGGTCTACAGCATAGAGACTTTAACTCAGAGAGGTAGTCCAAACTTCAGCCTTGTCTCCTCATGCATTTGCTACTACAGGTTCTGCAAGACTCTAAGCCACAGACCTTGCTTTTGTCCTTTTTTTTTGGCTGGAGGTGGAGGAGGAGGAGGTGGAGGTGGTGGTGGTGTTAGGAGTGAAGGTGCAGGCACTACTGAGTCTTGCAGGCTCTTTTCCAATTCTTTTCTCTCCTTATCTTCTTGTACTTTATTTTCAAAGAATGTCCTTAATGGTAAGAAAATATAGCTTTATCATGGCATATTTAGAAATATCACTTGTAATTTTGGTCATGTTTTAGTGCTGACCCTAACCTAATATGTTTCAATAATTAATTCTGCTTTTTAGCTACTTAATAACATACCAGTTTCAATTCCCAAGGCCCAAAATAGTGATGCTGTTATGAAACTGTGTTTGAGAACTAACATTAATTTTGGCCTGGAAATAAATGTTTAAAGATTTCAGGTGTTCATTTTTAATAAATTATTTGAGCTCTTTTTAAATTTTCAAGTAAAAATTGAAGATATGATTTGATTAAGGACTATTGGAATTTTCTTTTTCAATAAATGACCATCAGTAGAAGAAATAAGAATAGACAAGTGAAATATATAGCACTATGTGCAGGGCTGTTTTTTGGGGGGTGGGAGGAGCTTAAAATGAATAGTTAAAAAAACTTTGGGAAAATCTCACATAGGTACATGCACATAAAATTTCAGTCCCCAGAATAAAAAGAGGCAAAAAGCTGCCACAGACAGAAAACAGGCCAACGAAGAACAAAGACGTGGGAATCAGATTTGCATTAGACTTATTAATAATCCAGATGCCAGTGAGGCAGTGCCTTAAGAGTACTGACAGAAATTGATTTTAAATGAGAATTCTATACTCAGCTAAACTGTCAACCATGAGAGCAAAGTGCTGACATTTTCACACATGTAAGAACTCAGAAACCTTACATCTCATATACCCTTTCTCATCATACTTTTAAAGGCAAATCAAGAAAGAGGAAGAAATGGAATGCAGGCACTAGGAGAATAATGAAGGGAGGTCTTAAAGACATCTCTGCAGTAGGCCTAGAGAGGAAGGAGTTCAGATGGGAAGATTGGAGAGGGAAACCTACAGAGAAAAGGAATGTATAGAATAGAAAGTATGACTGAGAGTGCGGGGGGAAAATACTAAGGATATAATATCAGATAAGGCACATAGAGAAAAAGGAATAAGTGAACTAGCATTCAGAAACCAAAAACTATTCAAAAAGTTGTTTTTTGTTTTTTGTTTTTTACAAAAGTCATAGTCTAACTCTGAAGCAAACTAAAATGTGATTCTATATACAATTAAGCAAGTGATGAAGCTTAGAGAAAGAGAATCCAGTTGATTTTCATTTGGCCAAGCGGGCTACGGCATTGGCACGGCACAAAAGAAAAAGCAATGCTAACTTATACTTCGTTGGGCACCGAACAACGCTCACTTAGCCCCAATAAACGTGTCCTTGGTTTTCACAGTGTAGAGTCAACTTATGGGTAAATCATGGAACACTTGATTGTGTCTGGCAGACAGAAAATAAGCATCACCTATTGTGACTGTATAAAAGGATATGAGACACTCAAGGGGGGCATTTGAGGTGGTGGGGAGAAGGAAGGGACATCATCTTGATTCTTAATTCTTTTCCTAAGAAACTTTTTACTGAATCCCAAGAAAGCTCTATGCATGAAAAGAGGCAGGAAGTCCTTAGGTAGACAAGAGGCAGAAAGTCCTTATGTAGACTTACATAGTAAAATTTTAATAACAGGGTGTTCAGAAGGAAAACAATATTTTATGCTAAATTTTGCTGCTTTAGCATATGCCTCTTAAGTGACTGACTATATCCTATAGATATGACAGACTTGTTTTACTGGCAGGTGAAATGGAAAGAAAACATATATATTATACTGGACACTTACATTGCAAAGTGGCTTTACCTGAGCACCTGATCCACCTTAGCCTGGTTGGAGGGCGCTATGCCCTGAAGCTCCTGGGTGATGGTTTCATTGACCCACTGCACAGCAGTGCTGACAGCATCGGACCTTTCTACTTCTTCTGCTTCAGCTAACTCAGGTACAGCATTCTCACGGACTTCGAAGTGAGTTGCGATCACCACAGAACATATGTTCTGAAAATGATATAAGCATGTTCTACATTTTCTCTACCTCTTGCAGGAAATAGGAAATTGTATCTGGCTTTTAATGTGCATATTTTATCACCAATTTCAAAGGGAAAATGAGAATATATAATTTTCCTTGAGGTATTTTTATTGAAACACTGTGGAACTCAAACTTCAAGGAACATTTAAAATTATTACCTTGTTAAAATCCCCTTAGAAAAATCTTACATTGAACTTCATTTTTATCACTACATTTTTATCTCCAATAAATAGCTAAAAGGATACAAACAGATTTAATCATAATTATTTTCCTCCCAGAGACTATGGCAACATTATTTCTAACAACAAATATGGAGCAATTACAATGAATTATTAAAGTATAAAAATGAATTTTTTAATGTAGATCAGTCTATAACCTATAAGTCTGTGTAAATTTATGTATAAATATATGAATCTGTAAACCCATTTGTGATTTTGGAACTCATCACATTAATAATGTCAAGATTTTAAAACTATTTTTGCCCCATTTCCTTTCTCCATCTTGGATCATCTTCAAGTTAGCATGTCATGCCAGTACCATATTGCACAGAAATATAATAAAGTAATCATGGTTGACTGTATGATTCATGATTTATGTATGTCTACCTACAAATAGCATGTGTGTGTATTTCACAAACACCGAATTTCAAAACATTAATTTTCCACAGTTTAGACAATAAATGCCACGGGGCCAGGAGACAGTGAAGAATGCATGTAAGCTGCCTCATACCTTGGGAAAATTTTGAATGGTGCAGAATATTTCCACTTGTAGGGTGGGAAGCCCCAGTCCATCTAGCACATTCTTCCCCACCACTTTGCATATGGTGGGAGGCTTTGCAAGTTTAGAAAAGCAGTTTGCCTTCAACACAGAAAAAACAAAATCAGAATACCACATTTATCTTTAAAAGGTCGCCCACATTTTCTCTAGTTGCTACTAACTCCCACCCTGAGTGTCCTCCTTATGCAAGGATTAGTCCTGCAGCTCTGTGGGAGCGCCCCACCCTCGTACACTGAGATTTGGGTTTCACCTGATGCTGAGTCTCCGGTACATGGGCCAATTTGTTGTCTTCTGAACTCTCGGTAGAAACTCACACATGTTTCTCATTTCTTAATTTAAAGGTCCCGTGTCACTTTTTAGCTGGCCTTAACCTATCCTTCTGTCCAAGATACCGAAGTCAATTGGTCTCTAGAACACCGTGATGCATTCAAACTTAAGAAATCTAAGTGGGCCAGTTCCTCTCAGCAAGACATCTGATATTTTAATGGTGAAGACTTATGCAGAGGCTGCATTGCACTGACCATCAGTTCATGCAGAGAGTTGTATCAAAGAGGATTGCTGGAACCTTAGTAACAGCAGTTTCATTGATGTGGAAAAGCAGAAGCCATCTGGAAGTGATCCAAGAAAGAGAGAGAAGAAAGAGAATGAAGCTGAGGTAGAGAGCCCACTCGAGGAGCCTGGGTAAAAAGATTTAAAGTGGCGTTTCTATGCACAGGAGCGCAGAGAGACGGCGGAAGGGAAGTGAAGGCACGCCCTCCTTGCGCCAGGTGGTGGTACTGGGCTCTTGATTTAGCAGACCAGGCCTCTGATCTCCCAGTTCAAAATCCAGTGACCTCGACCTACATAATAGGTCATCTAACACCCATAAGCAACGTGCCAGCACCAAGGTGGCGCCCCAGCAGAACTGAAGCAGAAGCCAGCGGCCCCCTTCACTGAGAACCCGCTCCTCCCTGGGAGCGCACTCTTTTATTTCTTTTATATTTTCATCTCCCAGATTCCATTGGGCCACAGCCTTCCTTAGTGTGGCCCGTCTCCTTCTAATTATACTTTTAATAAATCCTACTTTTTCTTAAATAAATAAATAAATAAATAAATAAATAATAAAGCAAAAGCCAACTTTCAAGCTCTCCGTGCATTTAAGGATGATGATTTGTATGTTAGCAAGTAAATACCTCTATGAATTTAGATAGAATCGTGAGACAAAAATATTATCTAGCTTATATTTTGTGTTTTATAGTGAATTCAATTCAACAAGCAATGAGTACCTACAGTGTTCCACATATTGTGTAACGAAGGGAAGGGAATTAACATTTTTTAAGTGCTTGATGTGTATCTTGAAAGAGTGACTCTGTCTTATTTATCACTGTATCACATACCACAGTGCCTGGCATACTTAGGATTCCACAAATTAAATCTTGTGTAAATTAATACATGTCAGACACATCCCTAGGCACTTTTGTATACGCTGTCAGTAAATTCTCAAAACAACTCTATAAGGTAAGTTGTATCAATTCCATTTTACAGAACTTAGCAAACTGAGTTCTAGGGACATTGTCCAAAATAACTAGCCAATGTTTTGTCTACTGCTTTGTAAGAGACCAGCTCAAAACTTAGTGACTTAAACCATTTGCTCACGATTCTGCAATCTGGGCTGGGCTCAACTCAGCAATTCTTTGGCTGGGGGCTCCTCTGCATCGTCAGTCATCTGGAGGCTTGACTGGGTCCAAGGTACCCAAGATGGTTTCACTCATAGGTCCAGCGTCTCTGCCAGGATGGCTGGAACATCTAGGGGCTGGCTGGGCAGCTGTCTTTCTCACAGAATATCCTGGAGGTCTCTCATCTTCCAAAGCCTCTCTCTATACGCTCTCTCTCCCTCCAGCAGGGTAATTGGATGTCCTTGCAGGCAGCATGATGACTAGATTCCAAGAGGGAGTGTTCCATGAGTACAAGCCTCGATATGCCAGCACTTACCAAGCCCCTGTTTGCATCATGCTTGCCAACATGCTATTGATAAAAACAAGTCACAGCGCCAAGTCCCTAGTCAGTGTGGGAGGAACTTAATAAGTCCATTCATACTGGTGGTGAGGTTCACAGGGGACCATCGCAGTCTACTACAGCTACTGAAGTGGCAGGGCTAAGTACCAAACCTAGATCTGCCTGATTCCCAGTCCCAAACTCTTTCAATTGTAAGTCTAATGATGAAAGAATAAAGAGTATTGCCATTGTCCACAAGGATCTAAATTCCTCTAATATGTAAGAAAAGCATAGAAGAAATGGCATTTGAGCCAAGCATTGGAGGAGGTGCTGTATTTCAACAGACAGGCAACGGGGAGAAGTCCAGTGCAGATACTTAGGGTAGAGAGACGAGGATAAGCAAAGGGGAAGGAAGTGGGAAACCTTAGGCTCCAGGGAATAGTACCTGGGCCTGTGAGGAGGAGCAGGGGAGGGAGGGGGAGTGTTACCAGGGGTAGGGGCGAGCACTATGAGTCACACAGGGGAAGGTGTTTGATTTTACTCAGCAGGCAACCAGCAGCTACCAGAAGTTTCTAAGCAAAAGAATTATGGTCAGATTTAGAATCTGCAACATTGTTCTAGCAGCCCTATGTGGGATGGATTCAACAGAAGGAGAGACCAGGTGAGAATAAAGATGGCCACGACTAGGGCAGTGACTAAGAAAACGAAAAGGAGGTTGTCTTTTTGCGAATCCAAGTCCCAAATATCCTTCAAGGTCCAAGCCAAAACTTTCCCAGATGCTATGGCCCACGGGGATCTTCCCCACCCCTGAACCTTTACTAAACATATAGTGATTTGTCTCTCAGTCTAGATAAGATAACATATGATCTTATCTATTACTCCAGTTGTTTTATAGATCAGTGGGGTTTTGTCCCTACCAGGGTATAAGCTCCGAGAGCTGTACAAACCAAAGTCCTGGCTGCCTATTAGACTGGGAAGATCACTACATTGGGAAACCAGGGTTCAAGTTTCCAGTCTTAGCTTTTCCACTAAGTAGTTATGAGACAAGGGCTTGGTGTCTTTGTAAAATGAGGAAGTCAGGTCAGATAACATTCAAGAATTCCTCTAGCAAGGGGTAGTAGAGAGTGGAATTCCGAGTCACATTCACTCATTCATCCAACAAATACTTTTGGAGTGTCCATTATGTACCATGGACTCTGCTAGGTACTAGGGACAGAGATCTGGTTTGATTTCTCACTGTTGTTCACTGTGTCCCTTGGGAATTTAAATTCATTGGGACACAATTTCTTTATTTGTAAAACAGGAATCATAATTTGGAAAGAGAGAGGAATTCCGAGTCACATTCACTCATTCATCCAACAAATACTTTTGGAGTGTCCATTATGTACCATGGACTCTGCTAGGTACTAGGGACAGAGATCTGGTTTGATTTCTCACTGTTGTTCACTGTGTCCCTTGGGAATTTAAATTCATTGGGACACAATTTCTTTATTTGTAAAACAGGAATCATAATTTTACCTTACAGTGGTCCTAAGGACTAAATGAAATAACTTAAAGCACATAGCACAAGGAGCTCAGTAAACATCTTCTCCCACCTCCAACTTTGATGTATAGGCTATGACTGAGAAAAGTAAACATGCATGGAACATTCTCTACATCATCTGTCTCAACAAGATGGTTTTGAACCCTATAAACAGTGAACCCTATAAATCGCGATTCTTTATAGCACTTACATACTTTGCTTGGTGTTGTCATATTGCCTTACAATCCTGCAAATTCCTACCAGTCCCATCCAAACTGCTTTCCATAAGGCAGGCGTTGGTCAGTACTTATGGAAGTGATAAAATTCTTGCCTTTGCTTCAACGGCTGGTTGTTTAAGGCTAAGGTTTGTGCCAGAAATCTCACTGGGCACAGGGACTAGGAAGGTGCTAGGAAAAGGCCTCTGTTCTCCATGGGAGCTCACGATACGTGCAGGAAATGCTATAGGATGTTGAAGGATGATTAGTCCTGGGCCGAAGTGGGCAAGGCTTTGATCTGAATTTGAAGTTTTCGGTAGGAGGTGGTCAGGTGGGGCCGGGCATACAGGCTTGATTTGAATGAAACTTGGAAGCAATGGGAGAGGGCTGGGCATGCGGCCCCGGGGGAGGCTGATGCCAAGTAGTAGCGAATGCCAAGGGGTTCATCCTCATCCCCAGGTCAACAGGAGGACGCTGAAGGTTGGTAAGGGGTTACCTACGCAGTATTAAGGTCTGTGTTTAAAAGGACAACTGGCAGCAGGGGCAGGTCCGCCCAGAGATAGGGAGGAAGCCTGCCAGTTCCTGAGCTGTCGTCGTAGTTACAAATATGCCTAGAGTCCACTTTCCCCTAGCTGCTTCCTGTCCACCACTTTCTCTCTCGAAATTCCTTGGCCCCTGGATTCCCCTTTGATGCTTCTCTTCAAGACCGTCTCCCCGTACGACCACCAAGCCGGACCCCCGCAGCAAATGCGCGCGTGCGCAACCCTGCGGCGCAGGCGCATGGCATTGCCGCAGCGCGGGGCGGGGGGAGAGGGGCTGGAGGGAAGAGGGTGCTGGTCCCAGGTCCCTACCAGGTGCCCGTAGACGTCGGCAGGCTGGAGGTAGAAGGTGGAGTTGAGCAGCTCTTCCAGCCTGCGCGGAACGTCGTTCTCCCGGTAGTACTCCAGAGCCTGCTGCTTCAGCTTCTGCAGCTCCTTAGTGGTCCCACAGCCGCTGCCGCCGCCTTCTTCCCCCATGGTAGGAGATTTAAGGTTACAGCGGGGGTTAGTCTGGGGGCCTGCGAGCGTCCTCCCCGTCGCTAGGCAACACAACGAGATTCAAACCCCAGATCTCGCGAGGCTTCCAGCCCCGGCTTTCTCCTGCGGCTGGAGCTGCAAATGGCTCCTCCGAGCGCCCCCTCCTCCCCGCCCGAGGGAACGGGCTCCTCCACTAGAGCTCCCCCGGCATCGCTTTTTACCACTTTCCCCGACGTTTTCCAGATGGGAAAATAGTTAACGATCTCAGGTAGCGCTTTTTGCAGAAGCGTAGGAGCGGTAGACCCGGCTTCCGGCTGGGTCTGGAGCCTGGGCTGGCGCGCCGGTTCCCCGCGGCCCCGGGACCTGGGCTGTGGGCCTGCCCCACCCCTCCTCGGGCCTGGCGGCCGTGAGCAACTCCGAGTGGCGAGGGTGACTCTCCGGGGAGGGATGTAGGAACTCGGGGGTATGCTCACTAAGCTGTGGCGGCCCCAGATAGAGTCATTCAGTCGATATTTAACTACCTGCCCTGAGCCGAGCACCGTGCTGGCAGGGAGACTGTGAAGTCCTGGAGACAAACGGCTCCGCACCCATCCCTGGGAGATTAGCGGGACGAAATCAGTGGAAGGGAAAAACAGTGTGGACAGAAAAGGTTTGGGGGGAACCGTAGGTGTGGTTATGGTTTCCACAAGCCTAGGGGTGGGGGTGTTACAGGCAAGACTTGAGAAGTGGGAATGGAAGATTGTGATTGGGTCACGTTCCCTCTCCAGAACCTTCACGGGCTGCCTGCGTCCTGCCCTTTTAAATACAAACTGCTTGGCTTCATTGCACCTGCCAGGTGTCACATACAGTCATAAAACGTAATGTGCCCCCTGTGCTCTAGTTACTTCTGCTGCAGAAATGGGTGGAGAGGCACATTGTGTTCTTATTCTACTCTTGCTTGTTTGTGTTCCTGACCTACGCGGATCACTTAAAGCATCTATGCCGCACTTTGCTCATCTGGAAAACGTAATCGTTCCCTACTCTGCCTGCTTCACTGGTCACTTAGGATAAAATGAGAAAGTGAATGAGAAATCTCTTTGAAGCAAGTTAGTTATTTTCCACATGTATTAGAATAAAAGGAGAAGGTGTAAGGAGGATTACATGAAATTCACTGGCGATAGATTAGGGAGGCTGGAGAAAGCAAAGCGGGGAAATCTCTGAGATTGGATAAAAAGCCACACAGACACATACCTTTACACGGATGGGTACAGGATAGTTAACATTTACAGCACATAGAGAGGGTGTGTGGGCAACGAGGTAACAATGCGGTCTTGTGCTCTGGTGAAGGCAGTTGTGCCTTCCAGGAGCCTGGAAAAGAAGATTACTCTGACATTTCAAAGGCATATTATCTTAGGTGCATAGAGACAATAGACGATTTCAAAGGCAAAGATTGACCTTTATCAAGGATGCTACAGGCCTAGGACAGACTACCCACCATGACCCGCTTTTAGTTAAGAAAGTTTATATTCAGTCTCTGGGTTGTCAGGTTTAGTATGTGGCCGCTTTTTTGTCCACACTATAAATACTGATTTAGGGACCCAGACCTTCTGAACTCACTGTGTTCTCCAAATCTCTAATGGAGAGGAAGGTCTCACTTTGCGGGGTGTGATAGATCATCATGGACCTGCTTTATCCTTCTTGCTAGATGGACATCCCTTGGTGGTAGGGGCCGAGTCTGAGTCATCCTCACATCCACCCCAGAGCCTGGGCCCCTGCAGGGACAGAGAATGTGCCCTGCTGAATAGTGCCGAATGACCCTTTGAACAGAAGAAGCCTGTGCTGTCGCTGCTGTTGCTTCCATTCCACCTTCGTGCTTTTCCTCACATCCCCCTGGATCGAAGGCGCCCCCCTGTCCGGTACACCCACCAGTTAAGTCTGACTTCTTTAAAGAGGCCATACTCCACACTCCAGCTTTCCTCACTCAGCCCTTCCTTTCTTCTGAACTCCTTCCTCACCTGTAGCTTGGGCCACAAAGTTAAGCCCTCAGGGATGTCTTGACTCATTTAACATTTTAATGGAAGATTGGAAGTGTCCTGGGCTGGGACCACCATGTCTCAGAGTCTCCTCTCTGTAACGCGTTTGCCGTTAAGTTACGTAAAGACAGAGACTTGCTGTGTCGTCTTCGCCTTTGCATCCCCAGCATCAGTACGTTACTTGACAGAATAGATGCTCGGTAAATATTTGTTGAATGAATGAATGGACTTTATACATAATAAATGTTTAATACCTAACAGTCGAATGTTTTGGAGTTGGGTGACTAATGAGTATATCTGCTGCCTGGAGCAAAGGGTTTATTTTTAAGAATAATGAGGAATAAGGATGGAAAAGCCATCTGAGGTGAGGTCGTAAAGGGACTGGAATGCCATTCCATAAGAGTGAGAAGCAATTCCAAATTTCTGAGTACAGGGTAGGCAGAATGGAAGTTAATTGGCAGCAGTGGGTAGGCTTGATGGGCGTTGGTTATACAAAAAGCAGGAGACCCAGGTGGAAAATACTACAGATGTAAGGCCCTAAACAATAATGGTAGCAATAGAAAGAGAAGGATGAGAGAGACAATAGGAAGGAAGGATGAAAATCACTTTGAGTGATTGGATGTGAGGTTGGGGAACCAAAGATGGACTCCATTGAGGCCAGCTTGTAGAATTCTGTTAACAGTTGACAGAAATGGGATAAATGAGCGTGATATGGTTTTGTTGGTGGGAACAGGATGCATTTGATTTTAGCTTGAGTTGAATAAGAATAAAAGAATCTTCTGGAAGGACAAGAGATCTTGTCCTCTTGAACTAAGGATCTAACTGGGTAGTTGAGAAGGGGAGGGAAAGGAAGAGAAGGAAAGGGAAAGGAAAGGTTCAGGAGATAGAGAAAATTCTGGAACATATCCAGGGAGAGAGGGTAGGACTGTACTCCCCTTCTTTAGGAAAGAAGGGGTATAAGAAAGAGGACACAGCCATGACCGTTAACTTCTTATTGGAAGGGATGTGTGGTGTGGGACCAGGATCATTTGAGAATTAGAAAACCTAGGTTGGACTCCCAGCTGTCCCCAAGATCTTCTAGGACCTATTCAATAAAATGAGGGGAGTGAACTCGATCAGTGTTTCCTAACCTTTTTGAGTATGAAGACTTTTAACAACAAAAGTTTGAGGACCCCTGCCCTAACCCTGTAATAGTGGTTGTAGTGGTTGTGAATTCAGCAGTATGTCTAGAGGCATTTGTATTTCATTCATGGAAACTGTACATATGACAAAGAATACATTTTATGGGTAGGCAGTTCTTCAGTTTTGGGAGTGTGTTTGGTGTACATTTTAAATTGTGGGACCCTTGCCCATGGTCCACAGGTGTCTTGGGGACCTTGATTGAGAACCAATGAACTGGGTCTCTCTTCGATCTCTTCTACTTCGTAGCTCTGATTCAGGATAAAATATTAGGACATATTCATATATTACTATCAGCTAATGGAAGACTCTTCATAGAGGAAATTAACCATTCTTCCGTCTGCATTTTAAGTAGAATTTCTAAACTATGCCAGACATTTCCTAAATGAATGAGGATAAAGAAAAATGTGCGTGTTCATTTCTCCTTAATCCTTTCTGACACCTTTGTATAAATTGGAACTTGTTTGCCATGACTCTACTATTCAGAAGTGATGATGTAGATGTCATTCTGCGGTTGCTATCAAGTGCTTGTTAATTCTTCTTTCCTGCATCTGCCATCTGTGTTGACTATCATTTTTCGTAGGGAACTAATGAACGTGAGTGCAGGTGTCTTTGATCAGAGAATCATAGGACTTGGAGACAGAATAGATGGAAAGGTTGCCTTTCTCTCATCTAGAAAAAGGGAGTAACGTTACCTTCACCCAGTTGTCATCAATGAGCCAAGCTAATTGCAATATATAAATAGCTGCAAATTAAATGCCATTAATAAAAGTAGGACTAATGAAAATTTTTTTCGTAACTTGATTTTTTTCGTTATTAATACCCCTGGCAGTAATCATTACCACTGTGGTAACAGCAGCAAAAACCACAGAGCAACTGTCATTGATGGAGCACTTTTACGTGCCCGGGGCTCTCCTTATATCATTTCATTGAATCTGCAAAACAACCACAAAAGGCAAGCAATTGGCCCAAAGTTAGACAGTTAACAATTCGTGGAGATGGAATTTGAACTCAGGTCCGGCTGACTGCAGTGCCCATGTGTTTCCCACAGTGCTCCGCAGCTTCTCAGATCTAGAACTCTCTGAGTCATGGCCGCTTTTGCTAGACTCTTGCCTATTCTCTGCCAGCTGAGTTGCTTGCATTGAGGGCTTGGAGAAAGCAACTTGGGTAAGTGGTATTACTCTCCTGATCACTTGTTCTCAGTCCAGGCTGCACATGAGAATCACCTGGGATTCTATTAGATTCTACCGGAACCTAAGCACCATTAGAATTTAAGCACCACAGAGAGGAGGATTATCTATTTTATTCATTGCTATTGAATTGAAAAATACTAATGCCTGGGCCCTACCCTAGACCTACTAAATTGGAATCTCTAGGCATGGGGCCCGAGCATAAGTATTTTTTATATATGTTATTAATGTGCAGCCAAGGTTGAAAGTACTGCTCTAAAAGATTTCTTCATGGATCGTATCAGAAAGAGAAAGGGTAAAGCTTTACCCAGGAATGGTTTGAAAATAGATGTAGCCAGGACGGCCCCAAAGTATTGGGTTTTGGAGTCAGACCCCATGGGTTCAAGTCCTAGTTCTTCCAGTTCCCAGCTGTGTGATCTTGTACAAGTTACTTAACTTCTCTGGGTCCTTTTCCCCATTGGCGAATATTTTCTATTTCATAGGATTGCTGTGAGATTAAAAAATCCATGAAACTTCTTCCCGCTGTGCCCAACACACAGTAAATGATGTAATTATTACCAAAGAAATTAAAGAAAAAGAAAATGTAGCATTTTTTTGCAGTTTTACAGTATTTGTTTGAAAGCCTTTATTTAGCTTTGTGTAGGAATTCAGGTGGAATTGAATTAAATGATAGGGG